TACATCCACACAGAAAGCAGCTTAGAGGCTGCCAGGGGCTGGGGTGGGTGGGGTGGGAAGCGACTGTCTAATGGGCATTAGCTTCCCTTTCGGGGCGATGATAAATTCTAGAACAAGATGGTGGTGATGTTTGCAGAACCCCGTGCAAGACCAATACTGCCATTCCATATGAAGATATTAATAAATTGAAAACCAAACAAAAAATCAAGAAAGAAATTTTAACAAGGTTTAAATAAAAACTAATTTTTTTAAAAGAACATTTTCCCAATTTACATATGGGAAAATTGATCCTGCCTCTGGGCATTTCAGGACCACAATCCAGAGGAGCATGCAGGCACTGACACGAGTCCATACAGTAACATGTGGCCGCTGAAGACAAATACGCAGGCTGCACGCCCACTGCGTTACGCACGGGAGCAGCGGCGGGTCCTGGATAGGATGAGGGTTGGAAGAGGCGGAGGCGGAGCACGGAGTTAGACTCATCTGGCTCATTTCTCTTTCCCCCAGACGTCTGAACTAGCGGTGAATCTCTTAGTGAGGAAACCGAGAAGACCAGGTTAGCTGGGCCTCGGCGGACCCTGGTCTGCACAGCTTGCTCAGAGACGAAGTTCGAGATTCTCCAGGAAAAATGTCCGCAGACCAGGTGTCCTCTTGCGGTCAGGAGAAACCTTGCAGTAGCCGTGGGTCACAGCCACCACAGTCCGTGTCCTCCCAAGGAACCCAGCTGAGAAATCTCGACTGTGACTCTGAGATTTGCCACAGGAACTTCAGAAAATTCCCCCGCTCGGAGGAGCCGGACCCCATCGAGTATCTGCAGAGACTGACCCAGCTGTGCCACCGGTGGCTGAGGCCTGACCTCCACACCAAAGACCAGATTCTGGACCAGCTGGTGTTGGAGCAGTTCATGCTCTCCACAGCCCCGCACCTCCATGCCCTGGTCAAGAAGAAGGGCGTGAAGACTTGCGAAGACCTGGAGGACATGCTGAGGAACAACAGGAATACCCAGAAATGGGTGAGTGGGGCCTTCTTGATTGGTACAGGCGTGGGGGTGGGGGCTGGGATTGTAGTCCTAGGGCAGGAGGACCAGAGAAAACACAGGGTTGTTCTAGCTCAGGGGCTCTCAACCAGACGAGAGCTTGCCCCTCAGGAGGCACTTGGCCTTTTCTGGGGACAGATTTTGGTTGTCACGACAGGGAGGAGGAGGCGCTACTAACCAACCTCCAATGCCCAAGACACCCACCTCCACAAGGAGCTGTCCAGCCTCCATATCCCCTGTGCTGGGTGTGCGACAGGCCAGCCAGGGGGTGCACACACAAGGGGAATGTCGACACCGCAGCATGTGTGAGGGCAACACCAAAGGAAAAGTTGGGAAAACGTCGTGCTGGCTGTAGGCAGTGAGGGGCGGCTTGACCTGAAGGTGGCGGGACGCGCTCACCTGGGGCAGGTAAGTGGCGGCGCAGCGATGCGGTGGTGCAGCTCCAGGTCCTCGCAGGGGCCCCTCAGCCCCAGCACTGAGACCCCACAGGCAGGTGCACCTGGAGTTTCCCTGTGTGCTTGGAGGCCACGCGGGCAGGTTGCGTAGGGTCTCACAGGTTTGGGGCTGGCCCGCGCTGGCGGTGGAGGGGGAGAGCGGGGACGGGAGCGCTGCGCCCACGGAGCTGGGTCTGCGGGGAAGAGCGAGTTTAGGGGCAATCGCAGGGAAGCGGGAGCGAGCTGGCAGCGGAGAGGCAGGGAGTGTGAGAGCCGCGCTCGTGTCTGCGTCTCCCGGGAGTCTGACTCTGCTTCTGTCCACAGTCCGTCGTCAGGGTCGGAGAACACGAATACCCGGTGCAGGAGTCCGAGGGTGAGGTGGCCCAAGCCCAGGCCTGTGACAGCGATGATGTGGCGGGCGTGTCCCGCAGGCGTGAATCCTGCGTGCAGCGGACAGCTCCGGAGGGAAGCCAGGTGTGGGGAGAGCTGCGGACCCTGCAGGGCCGCGTGAGCCGTCAGGGCGCGGGCGAGTGAGGCCCTGGTCTCTGGGGACAGGAGGGAGGAGGCCCAGGACCCCGTGAGCGGTCAGGGCGCGGGCGAGTGAGGCCGTGGTCTCTGGGGACAGGAGGGAGGAGGCCCAGGACCCCGTGAGCCGTCAGGGCGCGGGGGAGTGAGGCCGTGGTCGCTGGGGACAGGAGGGAGGAGGCGCGGAGCTGGCGGAGGGCGGGTGGGGCGCGCTCAGCTCGGGGTGCCGCCCCAGACTCCTGAGCCGGCGGGGAGGGAGGCCTCCTCCACTCTTGCTCCTCGGGGAGGCCGCGCCCACGCAGGCCGGGCGATGGCCGCTGTGCCGCGGAGGAGCCACCGACGCGCCGCTCGCGCTCATTTCCGCACAGACGGCTGAGGACATAACTGAGAAAGAGCCCGTTCTCGGAGACTGTCAATTCCCAGAGCAAAGGAGTGTAGCTCGGGGACGCGGTGCCGGCAGCGCTCGGCAACTCGGGGCGTCGCGGACTGTCCCTCCGGTGCTGGCGTCGCTGGGCAGCACGTGGGGGCGGGGCTGCGCGGCCCACAGCGCACGCGCTGGCCCAGGCGGAGCCGCCCACACGGCCCAGGGCGAGGCTGAGCGCCCGTCCCAGGGTCATTTGGCTTCTGGCGTCAGGAGCAGGGGAAGGAGGAATGGCGGGGAGACGTCTGCTCAGAGAGCTAACAGGGTAAAGCATGGGGGACGTGCTCCAGAGGGGCGCCGAGCACAGACCAGGGAGAGTCTCAGAAGTGAGCGCGACGCTCATTTGGGGTGGCGGGGCTAGGCAGTGTGGACGCATCGCAGACCGGTGTAGAGCAGCTGGCGCACAGGTCGGGGAGCGCAGGCGTGCGCAGGTGCACCCCGTGTGGCCCGCAGTGATTCCCGTGGTTGCCCATTTCAGGGACAGGACGTCCTCCTGCCAGAGACCGGGTCTGGAGAAAGCGCCCCAGAGGGCGAGGGGCCCACGCAGAGCTCGGAGAAGGACCCGGCGCTCGACGGGGAAGAGGCGACAGCCGCGGAGTGTCGAGAGCCTCGGCGTCCGCGGGGCCCTGGTGAGTGGCAGGCTGGCACCCAAGGGGCGCGGTGCCTCGGCCTTCCTGGGTCAGGGCTGGCCTGCGGCCGGCGCTCTCCCGCGGAGTCTCCCTGCCAGGCTGCCCCGTCCCCGCCCGCCCGGCGGCCCGCAGGCTCTCAGGCCGCGAGCTCGCGGGGCCTTCCCAGGCAGCACCAGTGTTCCGCGGAAAATAGTTTGATGTCACTGAGCATGCTCTGCCCTGAATGTTGTGTGTGGAACGTGTTTTTCTAGCACCTTCTGCAAGGGCAAAGGACGGCAAGGAGCCCCAGGAAGGACTCGGCAGGAGAAGCGGGGGTGCTGACGCGCCCTCCCCCCGAGCGTCCGAGACGGCAGCGGCAGCGTCGGCTCAGGGCGGGAGCACGGGACGTCCTCGGAGTCCCAGACGCTCCCGAAGGAGAAAGCTGGACACCGCGTCCACGTCGCAGGAAGGGCCTGGAGCGGGGGCCCCCCACGTGCACAGCAGAGCCTCCCCAGGACGGGCCGGGCCGAGCTCGGCTCCCTCGCCAGGCGCCACGGAGCCCGGCGGTCATCCTGCCGGCCGAGAAGCTTCGCGCCCGCCGCGCTTCGAATGCAGCGTGTGCAAGAAAAGGTTCCGTTATGAGTCGCAGCTCCTCACCCACCGGCGGACACACACGGGCGAGAAGCCCTTCAGGTGCCCCTGCGGGAAGGGCTTCCTGCAGCGCTCCGACCTGCGCGTGCACCGGCGCATCCACACCGGGGAGAAGCCCTACGCGTGCGGCGCCTGCGGCCGCAGCTTCGCCCACCAGTCCACCCTGCTCGGCCACAGGAGAGTCCACACCGGAGAGCGGCCGTACGCGTGCGAGTTCTGCGAGAAAACGTTCAACCACAGGGGCAACCTCAACGTGCACCGGCGCATCCACTTGGGACTGAAGCCCTTCAAGTGTCCGGAGTGCGCGGGGACCTTCCGGCAGCTGGGCACTTTCAGACGCCACCTGAACACTCATCAGAAACGGCCTCCCGACGACTCCGTCTTCAGACCCGTCTTTGGCCCCAAGAGCGAAGCCGAAGCGAATGATGAGTTGTGAGCCGTGATACAAATGACACAGGACACACGGGCTCTCGGTCCCGCACAGGGAGTTCTGTAGACGCTAAACACCAGGGTCTCCGAATAAAACCCACCCCGCACTGGGTCTTGTTTCCTGTGTCTGTTGTTTTCTTCCTGATAGGTTTTATAAAAATGTCTGTTGCTGTTCTTCCAAGGAACTTAAGGTCTTATTAGTTTTTATTATTTTTAACAAAAATCTGAGTCTGCTGATTTTCCTGCTTTTACCCATATTTCATTATTTCATTTTAAAGTGGACTGTCCAGGTAGGGAGGCCAGGTTAAATTCACAGCACCTGGTGATATTAAGATTTCAGATAAACAACAACTTTCTTTTTTACTATGAGTGTATTCTAAATTATTTCTTCTTCATCTGAAATGCAGCATTCATTCGGTACCCTGTATGTCTTATTCCTGATAGTTTGGGGGACAAGCGTTTTGGTCGCACCTAATGCGCCTGGCGTGCTCCAGCCAGGGCCACCCGCCGCCCTCCCGGCACGCCGCGGGCCGGCCCTGGCACGCTTACCCGCCGCCTCCGCCCGGCGGCGCCCGGCGAGTGTTCCCGCCGTGTGAGCGCCTTAGTGCCAATTCGATGGTGAGTACTGTGGTGCTTGTTTTTCCATCTTTGTGGTACCTCACTTCAAACAATTTACAATTGCGAAAATGTGGTGTCCTGTATTTTCAATCAATTTTGGTTTTTTAGAGCAGTTTTAGGTTTGCAGCAAAATTGAGCCGAAAGCGCAGCGCGTCCTAGGCATCCTTGCTCCAGGGCACAGCCTGCCCGGTCAGTCGGGACAGCCCCGCGGAGGGGTGTTGGTTGCAGTCGGCGAACCTGCAGACACCGTGGTCACCCAGCCGCACGGCGTGCATCAGGGCCCGCTCCCGGTGGTGTTCGCCCTGCGGTGTGGACCGGTGCGTGGGGGCGTGTATCCACTGTTAGTGTCCTGCAGAGCGTTTCCACCGCCCTAAAACCCCCGCGCTCCGTGGACCGAGCTCTGCTTCCGCACACCCTGCGTTTCTGAGCCGCGTCTGACGGCCCACACTCCGCTTGACTGTCGGCTGCAGAGGGCTTCGGGCGGCCGCTAGCTGGCCTGCATGTCGTCTCCCTTCCCTGACGGCTGTGCTGGCCGCAGGTGCTGGGCCTCCGCGCGGGCCTTGCGGCGCAGCCGGCCTGGGCCTGAGAATGCGTCTACAAACTGAGGTTGCTTCCGGTCGCTTCTAAAGCCTGCAGAGCTCCCCAGCCTGGACAGCACGTCCCCAGCGTGAGCGCTGTGCTGGGACGGTGCCTTCCTCAGAGCGGCGAGCCAGGTTGATGTTTCCATGGGAACCAAGGGCTGTACTTTCTTGAGAGCCGCCCCTTCCTGGGTGCCATGTGCCTTCTCAGGCGACAAGTCTCAGATTGTACTCCGAGGACGTCCCGGCTCCCGCCCTGAGCCGACGCTGCCGTCTCGGACGCTCGGGGGGAGGGCGCGTCAGCACCCCCGCTTCTCCTCCTGCGAGTCTTCCTGGCTCCTTGCCGTCCTTGGCCCTTGCAGAAGGTGCTAGAAAAACACGTTCCCACACAACATTCAGGGCAGAGCATGCTCAGTGACATCAAACATTTTCCGCGGAACACTGGTGCTGCCTGGGAAGGCCCCGCGAGCCTCGCGGCCTGAGAGCCTGCGGCCGCCGGGCGGGCGGGACGGGCAGCCTGGCAGGGAGACTCCGCGGGAGAGGCCGGCCGCACCAGCCCGACCAGGAAGGCCGAGGCACCGCGCCTTGGGTGCCAGCCTGCCACTCACCAGGCCCGCGGACGCCGAGGCTTCGACACTCCGCTGCTGTCGCCTCTTCCCCGTCGAGCGCCGGTCCTTCTCCGAGCTCTGCGTGGGCCCTCGCCCTCTGGGCGCTTTCTCCAGACCGGCTCTCTGGCAGGAGGACGTCCTGTCCCTGAAATGGCAACCACGGGAATCACTGCGGGCCACACGGGGTGCACCTGCGCACGCCTGCGCTCCCGACCGTTGCGCCAGCTGCTCTACACCGGTCTGCGATGCGTCCACACTGCCTAGCCCCGCCACCCAAATGAGCGTCGCGCTCACTTCTGAGACTCTCCCTGGTCTGTGCTCGGCGCCCTCTGGAGCACGTCCCCATGCTTTACCCTGTTAGCTCTCTGAGCAGACGTCTCCCCCATTCCTCCTTCCCCTGCTCCTGACACCAGAAGCCAAATGACCCTGGGACGGGCGCTCAGCCTCGCCTGGGCCGTGTGGGCGGCTCCGCTGGCCGGCCCGTGCGCTGTGGGCCGCGCAGCCCCGCCCCACGTGCTGCCCAGCGACGCCAGCACCGGGAGGCAGTCCGCGACGCCCCGAGTTGCCGAGCGCTGCCGCACCGCGTCCCCGAGCTACACTCCTTTGCTCTGGGAATTGACAGTCTCGCGAGAACGGGCTTTTCTCAGTTATGTCCTCAGCCGTCTGTGCGGAAATGAGCGCGAGTGGCGCGTCGGTGGCTCCTCCGCGGCACAGCGGCCACCGCCCGGCCTGCGTGGCGCGGCCTCCCGAGGAGCAAGAGTGGAGGAGGCCTCCCTCCCCCGCCGCTCAGGAGTCTGGGGCGGCCACCCGACTGAGCGGCCCACCCGCCCTCCGCCAGCTCCCGCCCTCCCTCCTGTCCCCAGAGCCACGGCTCACTCGCCCGAGCCTGACGGCTCACGGGGCCCTGGGCTCCTCCCTCCTGTCCCAGAGACCACGGCCTCACTCGCCCGCCCTGACGGCTCACGGGCCCTGGGCCTCCTCCTCCTGTCCCCAGAGACCACGGCCTCACTCGCCCGCGCCCTGACGCTCACGGGGCCTGGGCCTCCTCCCTCCTGTCCCCAGAGACCACGCCTCACTCGCCCGTGCCTGGACGGCTCACGCGGCCCTGCAGGGTCCGCAGCTCTCCCCACACCTGGCTTCCATCCGGAGCTGTCCGCTGCACGCAGGATTCACGCCTGCGGGACACGCCCGCCACATCATCGCTGTCACCGGCCTGGGCTTGGCCACCTCACCCTCGGACTCCTGCACAGGGTATTCGTGTTCTCCGACCCTGACGAGGACTGCGGACAGAAGCCAGAGTCAGACTCCCGGGAGACGCAGACA